TAGGTCCCATAGTCCCATGTGTTATTATTAGGAAAATAATTATTCTTGGATTCACAATTGTGGAAGGGAACTTGGGATGATTTACAACGTCAGGATACCCTTGAGTCTCCAAAGACAATGTTGAACGAGGCTGATACACAAATCCACCTTTCCCTTTTACATCTATGATCCAATTTGCAGTGAAATGCACTAGGCGCAGTCGCTTGGATATTCATTAATCTTCCTGATTTCTTGTCATAAACTATTGCCACAGGTTTCATTTTCTTATGGCTTTCTAGTACATAGTTTCTATCATATCCAATTTGGACTTCATCGATCCTGCTCCCTACCTTACATTTTGTCCCGACAAATTTAGTATTTACTAATTATCTTTTATAATTGTTGTGGTGTGATACATAGTATGTTGCGATACATGGTAAATGATACACAGTAACTTAAAACTGTTAAGATTAAAAGGGAGAAAAAATGGAACATTTAAATTTGTTATCTAAATCATCTTAAATTACGGTAACAGTTTATTAATAAGCATTAATTCAACACGTAATATGATAACAATTTCAAATTTTTAAAATTCAAAATTATATCATCTAGTTTGAAGACATTTTTATGAACATCCAGTTATTAAACTTATTGACTGATACATGATAACAATTTTCAAAAACTCGTGACACATAGAAAATCATATGATACACATAAAATTCATGTATCAATGCATCGTCTAAACACTATAACACACCGAGTCGATATGTATCAGCAACCACATTCGATGGGGCAGATATTAAACTTATTGACTGATACATGATAACAATTTTCAAAAGCTCTTGATACATAGGAAATCATATGATACACATCTAATTCATGTATCAATGCTTCGACTAAGAACTGAACGGGTGAGAATAACTCAAAACGTGATGGAGTAAGAACTGAACGAGAGAGAAATTGTCCAGATTTTTGAAATTTTAAATTTTTTAAAATTTGAAATTTAAAATTTCAAAATTGGGTGTTTTACTTAAAATTAATTAAAATTAATAATTCAAAATCCAAAAACTGATTTAAAAGGCTGAGTGTTTTAATGGAGAAAATTCAAAATCCAAAAACTGATTTAAAAGGTTGAGTATTTTAATGGAGAAAAAATAGGCATTAAAATGGGTAATTGTGTATTATAGGAGAGAGAATGTTATGTATCTATACACTTAAACTAAAATTAAAAAAAGGGAATTATGTAATATTTAAAAAAAGAAGGGAAAATTAGAGAATATAAAACTTATAGTTGTGTAATTAAGTTATTTTCCATATATTTATATAAAGTAAGAATTTCGGTCCACTGATGTGCGTACCTCAATGATTAGCAAACCTATTTGTCGCAGTTTTTTTTTGGAGTTTCCTCCTATATTTCTGTTGAAATGAATTTCAATTAATTAAATGCAACATATAATTTTCAGTCCTTAACTGTTTCTTCTAATTAAGGCAATAATAATTTATGAATTCTAATAAATTAACGTTTAAGAAGAGAAAGATACCGTTTCATATTGTAATTGTAATTTGTCATGCTTAACTGTTTCTCTAATTAAGGCTAAAATAATTAATGGATCCTAATTAATAAATGTATAAGGAGAAAGTATATAATGATAAATCTCAGAAAATTTAGTTAATTATGATATCAATTAATGTCACATAAGATTCAATTGAGAAAAGAAAAGAAATAAAAAAATTCAAAACCCGAGAGCAATATCATTCACTATACAAATGATCTTTTTATGAGTAAAGGGGTACATTGGACTTTTTCTTTCTTTTGTCTTTCTAGAATTTTCCTGGACAGAGAGCAAAAAGTAAAAAGTTGCCTTCCTTTCGTTCCAAACGTCTAGGAAAATCCTGAAGCCGATTAGCCACGAATGTTTGCAGTCTTTATAGTATAGTAGCGGATCATAAAAAGCATTGTGATAATCCTTGTATAATGAAAAACTACTTTGTTACACGTACATATGAATTGATGGTGAATCATTATGGATATGACTTGGTTAAAGAAGTAGTACTTAAAAAACATGAAATTAACTCAACAGATTTGAAGGTGTGCATATCTACAAAAATAGTAGATATTGAACGAACGAATGAATTTGCCAGTGTGATTTTCGCGTAAGTTTTGAATATTCTTATAGTTTTCATTTATATGTATAATGTATAATGATTTTATATTTAGAAATCAAAATCTGGATTCCAATCCGAATGTACCTCCGGATAAAATTGATAGAGCTCATCGGGCTGGAAAAGCTCGGAGAAAAGGAGCTAGTTCTTCGGTGAATCCTGTTCAATAAGGAGTTTCAAAGGCTCCGGCAGCTGATACTATAGGTTACATTAGGTCCCATAGTCCATTTTGTTATTGTTAGGAAAACAACCATTGTAATGAACCTAAAAATGGTTCTGTTGCTGTAGAAGAAGCTGCTGATGAAGAAGCTGCTGCTGATGATGATACTGATCCACCCCCTCCACCAGCAGCTCAAGATCGAATACTGTTATAGAAGATTACAGCAGGTCCCATAGTCCATTGCGTTATTGTTAGGAAAAAAATTATTGTAATGAACCTAACAATGCAGGTTCTGTTGTAGAAGAAGCTATTGTAGAAGAAGCTGCTGATGAAGAACCTGCTGCTGATGATGATACTGATCCACGTCCACCACCACCTCTTCCACCAGCAGCTCAATAGTCTGCTCAAGCTCCTAATGCTGTTACAACTCAATTGTCTGATCAAGCTCGTAATACTATTACAGCATGTCCCACAGTCTTATTGTGTTATTGTTAGGAAAACAATTATTGTAATGAACCCGATAATACAGGTTTTGCTGTAGAAGAAGCTATTGTAGAAGAAGATGATGAAGCTGCTGATGAAGAAGCTGATGCTGCTGATGATACTAATCCATGTCCACCGCCATCTCCTCCACCAGCAGCTCAATTGTCTGCTCAAGCTCCTAATGGTGTTAAACTCAATTGTCTGCTCAAGCTCATAATACTATTACAGCCAGTCACATTGTCCCATTGTGTTATTGTTAGGAAAACAGTTATTGTAATGAACCTAACAATGCAGGTTTTGCTATAGAAGAAGCTATTGTAGAAGAAGCTGATGAAGCTGCTGCTGATGAAGAAGCTGTTGCTGCTGATGATACTGATCCATGTCCACTACCACCTCCTCCACCAGCATCTCAATTGTCTTCTCAAGCTCTTTATGCTGTTACAACTCAATTTCTGCTCAAGCTCGTAATACTGTTACAGCAGGTTCCATAGTCCCATTGTGTTATTGTTAGGAAAATAATTATTGTAATGAACCTAAAAATGCAGGTTCTGCTGTAAAAGAAGGTGCTGATGAAGAAGCTACTGCTAATGAAAAAGCTGCTGTTGATGATGATACTGATCCACGTTCACCACCACCTCCTCTACCAGAAGCTCAATTGTCTTCTCAAGCTCCTAATGTTGTTAAAACTCAATTTATGCTCAAGCTCGTAATACTGTTACAGCAAGTCCCATAGTCCCATTGTGTTATTATTAGGAAAACAATTATTGTAATGAACCTAACAATTCAGGTTCTGCTGTAGAAGAAGCTGATGAAGCTGCTGATGAAAAAACTACTGATGATGATGATACTGATCCACGTCCACCACCTCCTCCTCCACCAGCAGCTCAATTGTCTGCTTAAGCTTCTAATGCTTTTACAACTCAATTGTCTGCTCAAGCTTGTAATACTGTTACACAGGTTCCATAGTCCTATTGTGTTATTGTTAGGAAAACAATTATTGTAATGAACCTAACAATGAAGGTTCTGTTGTAGAAGAAGCTATTGTAGAAGAACTTGATGAAGAAGCTGCTGATGATGATAATACTGATCCATGTCCACCACAACCTCCTCCACTAGCAGCTCAATTGTCTGCTCAAGCTCCTAATGCTGGTACAACTTAATTGTCTGCTCAAGCTCGTAATACTGTTACAGCAGCTCCCATAGTCCCATTGTGTTTTTGTTAGGAAAGCTTCTAATATATATATTTGTATTCTTAACCGACTTTTTATGCAACCTATAATTACAATATTTAATATGTATTAACCTCTAACAATTGAATTATTATTATTTATAATAATTATAATAAAAATATTATTTTGCATACCTTAAGTAAATAAAATTCAATTATTTAATTTTTCAATTACATAAATTTAACGGGATTTGAAAGTGGAAAAGTGGTTCTTTAATGCCTAGAGTCTTACATGATTAATTGTTTTAAACTAACACATCATGTATTACTTTACCAAATTTTTACAATTCCTATAATTTGTCTTCTATTTTTTTTAACTTGACTTATCAAATTCTAACACTTTTAAATTAGTAACCAATCTTTGTTAATACAATATCAGTAGAATTTCAATAGTTCATTAAGTATTTAGTGTAGGTTAATTAGTATTATGTGAAAAGGAATTTCAAAGAACATAAAAGAAATAGTATATAAAGGTAACAAATGATTTCCATTTCCTTCAAGTTTTGTTTCTTTAGTTGAGCATCTAACCTTCCTTCTAAGTTTTTTCTTTTCACTTAAATTTTTCCTTAAAGAAAACGGGAAATAGAGAAACATGTAGAGTTGATACATGTTGAAATTAAATAATTTTCATATCAATTTACATCGAACATTATTATCTCCGTAAGGAGTGCTAGCAGAAATTCATGAGCTATGAAAAGGAAGAAATTGATTTCTTTGAAATACTGAATTTAGAATTTTCATTAATTGATTTATTCTTATAATGTACTGTAAATATAATTGCTTCAACTATAGATAAATGCAATGTTATTTGTGTATTTGGAGGGAGTTTATATATATATATATATATAATATATATA